ACCAATGAACACAAGAGACAACATAGCAATACTGTATTTTCCTTTAACAGCTTTTTTGCCCATTTTTGTCGGCTTTTTCCTCTTGTTAGAAAGTTGACAAAGTTGACTGGAAAGTAGTTTTTCATCCTGGCGGGGCAGAGTGGGAGGGGAGAGTCGGAGGGGAGAGGGGAAGACTTGGGCGTGATGTAAACCTCCTCTATCATCTTCTCATTGGAAGGGGTAAGGATATAAAAATATTTGCCAATATTCTGACACATAAGACTAGAAAATCCAGACCAAAAAATTATGATCAACTTGTGGTATGAGAGCAGTACTTCCTGAAGAAAAGTATTCTTGGTTCTAATATTTCAAGCTTCATTTTCATGCCAAGAAACACTTCTTTTAATGTTGAGGAAAGACATGCCAAGTGTATTGGATTACGACTGAGGTCACTTCTGTGGGCTGCAAGCCAGTCGAGGATCAATGCTCTGATTGCCATGTTAGGACATTTGCTTAAAGAGTATTCAATGCTATTGCATTATCAGTGCATGAACTCAGGGGAATTTGTCATTCTTGGTTTGCCAGAAATGAAATAATTTGTTGGTGTGTACAGTACTTGTGAGAGGCAGACATATTCTGAGTAAGAGTTTTAATATTATATTAAAATATTGAATCACTTGCACCAAAAATAGAAACTTAACAAAAATAAATACAATAGATATGGACATAGTTCATTGGTCAAGAAAAAATAGAACCCAAAACAATCAGGGTGTTGATCTGACACAGCCAAATGTGATAAGAGTATTTTAAAGGATGTCATTTCATCCTACCAAGCAACATTCATGACTAGACAATCACACTGTTTGCTTAAATACAGGACAGACATCCTAAAATTGAATGTTTAGAGGTGAAATAAGCTTGAATTGCAACCGCAAGTCTGTTAACAAGTCTACAATTCATCCTTTAAAATTATGATTGAGCTCTTCAAATCGCTCAAGTGAAACTTGAATCTAGACCGCAAAGAGCTTAACTCAGTTAGTACAAAAGAACTCAGTGAAAAAACTTCTGTTCAGTGATAACACCATTTACAAGTCAAAACAGTCATAGATTTATCATTTCAATGGCTGATATATCCAAAAACAATTCATCGCAAACAGAGGCACAAGGTACACTTAATGCAATTTAATAAAGTTCTAGATAAGTTCAATTAGCTCTTCACTCAATGTACACGGCAATGTATCATCCCAAATAATTTTTAACACTACTAAGAAATACCTCACGTTTCATTTAGGCTCTCTCTTTAAAGAAAACTTCAACTGCTTTCTGTGAAGAGTCAGGCTTAGTAAAATTTCAGAATGATTTTGTTACCCAACAGCCGACATCACAAGAAATGTTATCACCCTATAATTTCCAAAGGGGACTGATTTCTTATTTCTACCAACAGTTGAAATACACTGTCAAGCATACCATTATCTTTATGTACAACCAAATTCTCATAACAGACACCAGTGCAAATCTTTAGTTTTCAGTAAGGAGATTAATATCATCATTTTAAGCTTGGCAATAGAAATGTCCAAAGCAGCCTTGTTTCATTACATAATCTGCAAATGTTCTCACTGCACAGGGGAACAATATAAGGAATTTGTAGGTACAAAAATTTATGAAAAGGTTGAAGAATATAAACAGACAAAACAAATTGTAGTCGATGTTACAATATAAAGAAATGGGTGCTAATGAGCAATAGGTTTTCAATGAATGTCTCCCAGATAATGGTTTCATACAAAATGCATGTTTTTAAAAAATAATGTTGAAAGGATAATTTCTTACATTTAGGAGAAAAATTTTCGACAAAATTTACAGAAGCAGTCTTACCATTGCTGATAGTTGATCAAAGTCTTAGTTTCTAAGCAACCTTTACTTTTGATAATTCTAACTATAGAATTCATCAATAGTTATTTTGTTTTGCTCAAACTAGCTTTTGTCAATCTTGAAAAGGTATGAAGGAAACTTGCGATGAAAATTAGTTCACACGAGGACAAAAATCACGAAAAAATAGATTGTGTTTTTGAAATATAAAAAATATAATGCAACGTTGCTTAACCGTGATTAGGTTTAGAATCTTCAAAAAGGAGAAATTTGGATGATTGAAACGATAGAGAAAACGTTTTACTAATAAAAACGAGCTAGCGAAATGAATTAGACCACAAGGCCAAAAGGATATATAATCTGTTTTGCTCTGAAGCCTTTGCCATTAAACGCTATTAGTTGCAGCGAAGAGTAAATTTATATTTACAAGACGACGCATATAAGCCAATACTTAGTGGTATTTCATGGAAAATACTGTGCGTGGCGTGTCTAATAAAGCTAAATTACTTCAGTTTCAGTTGAAGACGAAACAATGTTAGAAGTTGCGTCGCAAAGAGGTAGTTTAAACTCAGCCGTAGCGATGGGAACGCTTTCAAGCTTTGATTCGGCGACTGTTACTTTTGGAACATTAGGATCAGAAACAGGAGCGAGCGGTTTTTTGTTCGTTGACAGCTTCTTCCGCCTTCTTTTCAATTTTCGCACCTTGTTAGAGATAAACTTCGCCTTGGAAAGTAGTTCCTTTTGGACTGGTTTGGGTTTTAGCGTTGACTTCTGAGGGCTTCGAACAACTGGCCCTCCAAGAGTCCATTGCCACACGGGATGCGATGAATGTGGTTTGATGCCTTTCGGGCAAGCCATGGTGAAAGACGGACACAAACCTCCATCTGCTAGAGTCAACAGCGAGGTCGCTGGAAATAAATTTAAAAGTTTAAAATTGCAGTTTGCCTTTAAAGCAGGATTTGCCTTTGGTTTCTTTGGCTTGGGTTTGCTAACTTTGGCTGGTGTGACGTCGGTTGATCGAGTACAGTCTGAGGTGGCCGGAGCAAAAAATTTGGTCAGAGCTTTTCCGACAAGCCTCTCAAGAACCGTGTCTTTCTTCAACAGTTCTTCTTTAGCTTGTTTATCAACGTCAAGTTGTGTTTTTGGACTGGACCCTCTCTGAGGAAGGCCACCTAGTTTCTTTTCTTTTGAAATGTCAGTTAGCTTAATTTTGTCAGGACTGGCAACTTTTCCGTTAAGCGAAGTCTGCTCCTTGCGCGCTTTGAGTTTCAGGAGTTTGCCTTTAGCCTTTCGCTTGAACTTTTTCTTCTTTATGATTCCCGCACGGTCTTGTCTTTCTCCTAAGATTAAATCTTTGGTGATGAGTGGCTTACTTTCAATTTCCTCTTTCAAACTTAGCGGTTTCCTGCATTTTTTCGCCTTCTTCACTTGTTTTTGATGAAAAAGAGGTTTAGCTGGACCGCACACTCCTTCGAACAGAGGAGTTAAAACAGCCGGTCGCGCTTTCTTTCTGGGTTTGACTTTGCGTTGATGCAAACAGTTCGTTACCTCATTGACGGGACTTTTTTGTTCCACAAGCCACGAATCTTCAAAGCGTTTTAACAACAAAGCTGGAGGCGATAATGTCAAGCTTTTTCCAAGATTTCTTATTTCCTTTGTTTTGTTTTTCTTTGGTGTTTTTAGCTTCAGTGTACATGGCGAAGTATGTGCGTGTTCTTTAATAGCGTCTTCGTCCTTTCTTAACGACCCGCTCAGCTCGCCAGCTGAAAAATCTGTCTTTGTCGGTGTACTTGCATTCGACAACGCCGTTGAGCCGAAACCACTGTCATTTGACGAGGAATCAGAAATCAGCGTATCAAAATCTTGCTTGTTCGAGTTACAACGGCTGGTAGGAAATTGACTAACTTCTTTCACTTTGTCGCTTTCTTCATGTCCATTTAATTCGCTCCTCTTGGGAATTTTCAATGGCGACTCAAACGGTTCCTTGATATCCAAATTGTTTGACGACCTTTTCTTCCCTCGAGCCACTTTCCCCATCTTTTTGTTCGGTTCCGAACTGTTGTCACGCTTCTTTACGCGTTTCTTGTTAGCGCCAAGATTCACCAAGCTCATCGTTTGAGTAAAATTCGTCACATGGTGTGAAGAAGACGGCGAATCGAGATGGCACCCTTCCTCGTCCTTGTACCTGTTAACGTTCCCAGAAGTTAGATCTCCGTCAATGGCTACGCGACTGGCATTGTCCGTTAATGTTTTATTTACTTCACAATCGGTCGAAGAGCGCGATTTCAGTTTCTTCGCTGTAGCGACTTTCGTCAACCTTAGCTTGGGTTTGAGTGGCGCAGAGGTTTTGTGTTTACAAAGTACTGCTAATTTGTTAGCGGTTGTATTGCTGTTCAGCTGGGTCGATGCTGTCTTCTCGTTGTCGTTAAGAACACTTTCCATACTGGTAACTTCACTAGCGGGTTCCTCTGCGTTCGCATCTCTTGAGATTGCTTGGTTGAATTCGCTTGGTTTATCGATATACATTGAACAGTATTTCTCAACTTCTGTCTTTGATAGCAGTGTACAGTTGGCTGACGAACCGTGAATTCCATTCACTGTCTTTAGCAGTTTGATTTCTTCTGGCTCACAGAAGTGCCTGCGAACTTTCATTTTTTCCATTCTAGTAAATAGCGTAGTTCGCGGTGTTGTCGGCAAAACAAGTGCCAATAGCTCGGCTAATGGTAGCATATATTCTCCGTCGATATTCAAATATGCCAGTTCAACACCACGAAATACGAGCCTTCCACACAGAGGGGCTTGTTTCTCCTCCACTGTCTCTTCTGGTGCAGGTTCCGCGGTCATCATGGTTCCACTATGTGAAAGATTGTGAAACGACAGCCCGAAAGCTGTTCAAAGCCAGAAGTTAGCCTAGAATCTGTTCGACAGATTACATGAAGATCTGCCGCTCTAAGGTCAAAACAAACGTGCCGATAACGTCAACTTACAGCCTGCACTCTTGCCTCAACACAGATCACTTCGATTCCGCCTCAACGTTGTCCAAAACGCGCCGATTTACCTTGTAATGTTGGGGTACGGTGACTCTTTTACTTCAGACTCACGTTAGCCCCATCTCAAAAGCACGCCTCTTTGCCGCTAAGCTCATTTGCTCCAGGATCGCGCTGTGATTGGCCAATAACAAAGTAACGCAACCTGATTGGTTAGAATCGCGCTACGTTGTTATTGAAAACATCATGTATTTCCTTCGTCGTCGAGGTTGTGAAAATCGGGTCACATACGATAGCAGGACATTTACACTTCAAAAGCAGCGATTTCCAAGCAATTGAGCCTCGATTTTCTAGTACTTGATCAGTAAATGAAGGAAGTTTCATCGCGACAAGATTCACCTCAAGCAGAAATGCGTGTTTACCTTGGTTATCATTTGAGCGTCTTGGTGTTAGAGTCAGCTGGCCTCTACTTCATCAAATACAGTGATAAGGTTTTGCATAACTATTCTAAACATATTTATGATGTGAATGAAGTGTAAATGTGCCTTTTAGCCTGGAATAATGAGCTGTATAGTTTCGAAGGTGAACTTGTTACTTGATGGCACGCAGCGATGCAATCAAGACCCAGAAATGCAGGGCAAGTTTTGTTACTGTATGTCGGAAGACCTTCAAGTTATTCGAGCTCACAAATCCGTCACAAACGAATAGTACACAAATGAACACTTCTATGGCGTTTTATTGCCGTTTTGATATTTTATCTTGGATATTCAGTCCTTGGATGTGATCTTAAATTCCATGTTGCTGTATTTTAACTCACTGAGTTGATGTGGATATGCATATTTTAGTAACGTCAATGTCGTTCCCACTGCATGCATGTAGCTCGGATCAGTACCCAAGGTATCATTGTTATGAAAGGCAACTCAACTGCAGCCCAATTTTGCACTGGTTTTAATTTACAGAATCTGAAACATTTGAAGCTAGCAAGTTTATTGACTGAATGATTTTATGTGGAAACTTCAGCCGAGTTTCGTGCAAGGTTTTGTTAGAGAACACAATCGCGGGTCAGAATGGTTTTGCCAGCTTCAACTTGCATTGTTGTAGATCAGATTTTTACTGGTGTTCAACGACTTCAAAGGGCATCACATTTACATCAACTTTATTAATTCTGGTTGCTTGCTATCAGTACAGTAGTTTTAAAAGATCTGTATTTTTTGTCCAGTATTTCGATAAGAGTAGGACCTCTCCAGGATTGTTACGTGTAATGAATCTTATATGTAACAGAGCTTCATAAATAAACACTTCTCTTCGCTGCTACAAATTACTGCAACTACCTGATTTGATTTCAATAATTCTTCCTAATTGCTCAAACAAGGAATCAGCCTGAGTCGACCGGGTGTAACTCTTGTTATGAGTTTCAAAGAAATTTTGAGGGAATGATTTTATGGAACTTTGAGAAAGCCACTTGTATTCAATGTGGAACTTTGCAATCGATCGCGCGCTTCAAGACATCTCACTGTTTGCAGCATCGCTTCCTTCACAAACGAGGAAATGTATTAGTTGTGTGGGTGTTTTGGCCGATAGGCAGGCGAAACAGTTTTTGATTGCCGTTGATTCGTCACCCAAACGACTACGTTACGGATACAATCCATTAGCTAGTTTAGCCACAAGTCAAGATTTGCATAATTATTCTCTGATGTCTCGAGCGTTTAACACGTTTCAAATTCAAAGGTTTAAACAAGTTCTATGGTGAAGTATTTGACTCGAGTGTGACCAATCGACGTGAAGCGATCTCAGTTGTTAGAGTCGATCCAAATCAGCAACGTTACTTCGTAGAAACTTGAAGATAAAGTCGTAGTCGCTGATAAGGTCGTGAAAAGATCCTACCGTAACTACCTCAACAAGAACGATTCGGAAATAATAACAAAAATTAAACACTGCAACGGAAGCTAGGGGGTTGCATGGTTTCCCACAAAGGAAAACGTAACGATTAATGTTCAATACTTGAAACATTTTGTCCCTTCGCTCGATGTCATTATTCCTTTAGGGTTAACTTATCGTACTTTACGAAGACACCAGACAAAGATGGTTGTAACGCAGTCTTGTAAGATCGCAGACTGCTTGGTAGTTTAATCTGTATATCAAATAATATTACAAAGTGACAAAAGCTATGTCTTAAAATAAAATCGCTGTTATGCTATGCTCTACAAGAGGCAAGAACAGTGTGGATTGTGGACAGTTTGTCGGCAAAATCTTCTCAATTGGCGGCGTTTCTTTTAACAAGTCATAAAGATAGGGTTACTAAAGGTACAAACATTGTATTCAGCACATAGAGATCCCGGAGTGATACAATAAAGGAAACTACAACAATATTTGGTTACAATCCTGTGTGTTCTGAGATTTCTTTTGCGCAAGGATGTATCCTTAGGGTCGTTAGGTTAGTCTCAACGAAGCAGAAATATCAGACCTAACAAAAACGACAGAAAATGCAGAATCTTGACAGAGTTAAACAATGGGACAATTTCTCCAGGTTGCTTTTGATGTAAAGCGAGGATTGTTTTGTTCAAATTACTCTTCTGTAACAGTTTGGGAAACAATATTCAAACTGGTATCATATTTACAGACGATCGATGTAGCTCTTAGGTCAGACACTTCCACATTTCACTATAACGATCGCCATCCCCGAAGAAAAACTCGAGAAACCTTAAGTTTGATTTGAGTAGTATTTTTCTACATATCCAGTAACGTTTGAGGCTGGAGCCTGATTTGGGACTTCAGCTTGCGGAAGATGCGCTCGTCACGGCAAAGATGAATTAAACGCATGGTGCAAAACCTCAAAAAATCTTACAGAAAAATATAATGGCAGCTTTTCCTTTAGAACGCAGTTAGTAGTGATATTTTACCATGTGAACCCACAGGGCCACAATGTGTAATACTTAAATCAATCTATTGTATAAGAATCGTGCGTTGAGCGTCGTATTACTCGGCAAGTCATCAAAGGATGGCTTTTTACTTTACATATCAAATAAGGAGAAAGGCCGACACGTGGCCTGTAGATACATAAACATTACATCAGCCTTTTACACTGTTTTAGAGATTTGTACTGTTAATGAACAATCTATTTCAACATCGGCGAGGCGAAGAAGTGGGTTGGTCTCTTGCTCGGGTGCTTGCTTTTACTTCCAAACCTGGCGAGAAAAAACAAAAAACCACGCGGGTTAGTACATGACGTACTACTCTACCCTAAAGTTTCCAAGAAACGAGTCAGTTAGCATGGCAAGAATGCGGAAGACTTGGGACAGAAAATGTCAACTGGAGTACTTTGCCTACATCCGCAAATTCTCCAAGTAACTTGGGCAGTGCGTGGAAACACCCGCGAGAACAGACTAAATATTATACGATTTATTCTGCCCTGAATAAGCCAGGGACTTGAGAGATGCTATCTGTGTCTAGAAGTTATAATACTGAATTCTAAGAAATACATGATCCGTTGTTTTTCAGATCAATCTTGGCAACCACGAAAAATTTGCGTAGCGTTTCCGCAAGTACAAGCAGCTGTCTTCACATTCCTCGCGGGATGTCAAGGCGGTCCTTCGTTAGAAGCGAGAATCACGCGTGTCGCTCTTGAATAATTAAACGGATGATAGCGACATAAAAGCTCACTGAGAAAGTAGCACAAAAAAATCATCTGTGGTATATATTCCTACAAACGTTCCAGTTCGTTCTTCAAAACGCAATGCGCGTTATACATTTTTTAACACGTCGGGCATAAACAAATTTTAGAAGTTAGCTTAGAGGACCGAAGGAAAGCGAACTCGCATTTGAAAATATTAGCAAAAAAGACTGGTAAATATGAAATACTGAAACAATCGCTGATATCAATAGACAGTCGCTCAGTTTGAAAAAAAATAAAAAAAATAAAACAAGCAACAGACTTTACAACAGGAAACCTAACTGCTTCTGTAAAATTCTGAACAGATGACTAAAGCTTACAGTGGAATCGCGATTTCTCGAACCTCCCAATTACTAGAACCAAAAGTCGTTCCCCTTTCCTCAGTCGAACATTGTAATTTTAGCCTAGATTTCTCGAACTACCCAGTTTTTCAACCCGAAGTTCGCTTCGCTTGGAGGTTGGAATTATCGGGAATCCGCTGGATTTCCACGAAAAAAAAAAACGATTTTTTTGCCACATAGCACTAACATAAAACGACGCTGTAGCTGATAATCAGAAATACTTTACGGCGCCTTTCAATAACATGTTGACTCTAAAATTCAAAGCCCGACCGACATATGCGTTTTTCGCTACAGTCAATCAAATGTTCGGCGGCTCCTCCCAGCTTCCGACTACTGCCGAGTGCTGTTTCGTTGTCTGAACTGTGCTCAACGATTTGGTTACCGCGTGGTCGGCAGTAGTCGGAAGCTGTGAGAAGCCGCCGAACATTTGATTGACGGTAGCGAAAACCGCATTTGTCGGTTGAGCGTTGAATTTTAGAGCCCGCATGTTATTGAAAGGCGCAGTAAAAGGAGGGTTAAAAATTTCTTCGTAAAACGCCACATTTGTCGCTCTTCAGAGGACTTGCATGAAAAAGTATCATCTCCGGCTCTTTTTCCGTAGCTCTTCGTTCTCCCCCACCGTCCCGCCTCTCGTGCAGGCTCGTTTCCGAACAGGGCTAGCTGGTAATCAAAGCTTAAGGTCATGCCCAAAACGCCTGTTGTTATACAACAGTCTTAGCGTTCCACAGTTTATGAATTTATTATGACGGTTACCTTGGTGTCAGAGGAGTCCTGGAGAGAAAGCTTCCCTTCTTCTTCACTGACTTAGCATTTGAAGCTGTCAAGGGTCCCAGCATGCTCTCCGGTACTAAAATGAGAAAGTACAACGGTTAAAGGGGCTCAGTCACGGTATTTTGAGTTATTTTGGCCACATACAAAATT